ACGTGTGTGTGTGTGTGTGTGTGTGTGTGTGTGTGTGTGTGTGTGTGTGTGAACATGTGTGTGTATGTCCTTGAGCCTTTTGAGATGGGAAAAAAATAATAATAATAATAATAATTAAAAAACAACAACAACAAAAAAACAGGTAAGTATTTTTTATTTATTATTATTGTAACCGCTTCTGGTCGGGGGGGGTCAGAAATAAAGAGAGAAGCTGCTCTCCCTGGAGACTACTGGACATCACTGCGGTAAAGTCAGCAGACACTCAGATCTCCGTGGTCAACTCAGCAGACACTTACATGTTAGTGCACCTATATGCTGAAATTCACGGTAAACGCATTTAAACGGCACAGATCGGGAGCGAGCGAAGGACTTTCAAAGTTAACGGAAACATTAACGTGAGACAACATCCGGTTTCTTCAGACGAACATCCGGTTTTCAGAATAAGATGCCAAAAAAGTATGAATTATATTCACATTAAGTATAAAACATCCTACCTGCATCTCCTGAACCAAATGTTATTGCACTTTTGTTCATATAGCAGTACTTTTAAAATAAAAGTGCGCAATACACTACTTTTGAATTCACTATTGAACTTTGCCATAACAATGCGGCGCAAAAAATCCATGCGATTAATCGCGATTAAATATTTTAATCTTTGCCCAGCACTAATTTTACATATTCATTTTACTTTAGTCTTTTCATTTTCTGATGGTTTGCCTGAACCGTTTGAAGGCCAACATTAGGTAGTCCTCCTTGACCTCATTCCCAAAATCCACAAACAATGTAGCTTCCACAACCAGAGAAGTTCATCTGGCCACTTGATGCCTGTCTGCTGCTTCAGGAGAATATGGTGATACAACTAACCAATATTAAACTAAATATATTAGCTTCCATACTATCCAGCTAGTCTGTCACTGAGTGAGTGCCTGAGTAATGATGGTATACCATTGGTTGGATTGATTGATGGCATTGCACTGTTGGTCGGATTAAGTGATGACTACACAATTTGTCGGATTGAGTAATAGCGTTACACCAATGGTCGGATTGTGTGTTGACGTTTCAGCATTGGTCGCAGCGTATGATGACGTTACAAAAAAAACCAACAGTTACAAGTGGTTTGTTGGTTTCTTTCATCAGAGAGAGAGCAAACAATGTTATTAAACATTGCAAAGGTTAAAGGTCAAAAGGCAAGTTTGCAGGTAATGTAGTCATTTTAACTGAGAAATGTCAAAGAGAAATGTGTGGCAAGCTACTATGTACAAAGTGAATACAGAGAGTGTGTTCATTTCAGTCTTGAGCAGATTCCCTTATTCTATCATATTGTTTAGTTAAGTGAAATGACAAGGTAGAAGTTGTGTCATTGTTGTTGACATAAACTACTTTAATGTATGTTTTACACAATGGTACAGTTGCCTTATGTGGGAAATGACAAGTAGCATCACAAATATTACACCAGCAGTGACTAACTTTATTAACTAGTTTTATTTAGGTAAAAACATTATACCTGCTATCATTTCAGGCAGTTATTTTATTGTAGATTGGTACTGTGGGGCAGAAGTGACAAATCACTCTGCAATACTCTACTTGCAGTACCATGCCACAACGGTACAAAAACGCTGGTTTGGCCAACTAAGGAATACTTTAGTTGTCCATTACTCAAAGTCTTGTTACAAGCAAGAAACAAGCATTGTAATATGGTAGTCTTATATTTCAACCACAAAAGACATAAAGGCACGATGGTGAAGCCAAGAAGAAAATAACCTGTGTTATTGTTCCTTATGGTGATATGTAATCACGCAACATTTCTGGTGGATCTCACACCTCTATACTGTCACAATGTGAGTATTATATTCATCTGTTTAGGCAACTCAGGTTAGATCACAGACCCATCAATGCTGTAATCTATCAGTGGATGACAGTGGCCGCGCATAGACCAGGCTGCTGGAATTAAGGTTAGCCAAATTAGCCATTAATCAGCTAGTTAAGGTGAACTTGTTAAGGCCACAGTAGTAGGTCGAATACAGTGTTATGAGGATTTTCCTAGTACAAAGTGGACCTGGATTCTGCTGGATTATCAGGCATCGGAACGGTGGTTGGCCCTCTCTTTGGCTCTCCTTCTGGCCCACTCCAGTTCAGCCATCATGGGTAGAGGACCCTCATACATGTTGGTCTTGATTGTTCTCAGCTTCTCCTGGTAGTCCTTTGGCAAGCCGTTCTGCTCTGCTCCCATCATGATCACCTGCAGTGGTTGATGGAGTTGAATACATTGACTGTCCATGAAGAAAGTCCCTGATTTTCTCTCTTTATAACCAATAACAGCCACAAATCCCCAAGTTTCCTCCCAGCTCACTGTGGATGTTTTGAAACTCATCTGTGTTGAGTTGGTTCAGATGGTCAGATATCGGAGGATATTACAAAGTCACAATTTGGTTAAATGTAAGAGAACAAAGTATTATTTGAAAAAGTAAAGGCCTTCTGAATTAATGAATTATACAAGCAGATACTGAGCAGAGGGTAAATATAGTCTTTCCACCTCTGTACTGTACTGGACGCTGTATTGTTCTGTATATGTATAACAGCCGCGTGAGCTACACTATGTCGGTATCCAAAGACCACCGTAACTTTGAGAACCACTAGCAGCTCAAACAGGGACGAGGCCCAGCATAACAGAGGGAGGGAACAGTAGAGTTGAGTCTTGCATGCACCCCTATAGAAGACAAAGCCGTGACCGCACGCTGCCTTTCCCTCAAGCATGTTTGGAGCTCTCACATGTGCAAAAGAACAGTCTGGTGCTCTAGCTCACTAGCTGTCAGAGCTGTAAAACGTAGCATGGCAGAGGGGGCGTGTCCTGACTGTTGTGACCCGTTGATCACATGGTCAGGTGATGAGGGCTGTGAGTAGACCGATTCCTGATCCAGATGCTTCACAGAGAGAAATGGGATGGGAGTGAATAGGTGATGATGCCCCTGAGCTGATTCATGATCATCTTCTCTTAGCTTCCTGATTCAAAACAATGGCATTCAAACAACCACGTTCACAGAGAATCACATAGGTCCATTAAAAACAATGTAAAAGGTTTATAATGTCGTTAACGGGTGACTGATTATAATTATATTATTATAAAGTTCTGCAGAAAATTACTTCAAAAATGCAAAGATGGTATCATAGTTTTCATTGTTGCAGATTGCAAATGTAGCACCTCACAGGGGCGTAGCTAAAGTCAGTGCAGACAGTGAGGATGCATTGGGGGCCCTTGGAATGGGAGGGCCCATAGAGAGAGAAGGGCCTCCACCAATGTGTTGAGCAGAGAACAGGCTCTTGGGGTGGATTCACCTCAGAAATACGCCTGTGTTCAAACAAGAAACCAGTTGATTTATGAATGGTGTCATTTGCTGTATCCACCTTGAAAAAGGAAAACTCATCACCTTCATGGCTTCTTTCTTTTTTTTGGTAAAGTCAGTAGCAATCTATAACAAAATGATATGCTTATTCTACATATAAAAACTATTCAAAGAAATTATACATTTCTTAGTTTCTTTGGTATTTTTGATACACAGATATGCAATGATGATCGCTGGGTAATATGTATGCTGATGTTGTCCAATGTCAAGGTGCTAATGTTATTCAGCCTCCCCTCATTGATATTAATGGGGTGGACAAAATAGTAGAAACACCTGTCAATTTAAGAGCACCACAAACTGCATCCTCCGAAATGACCATACAGTCAAATCATCAGCTTCAACAAAAGCTGAACATTTGAACCTTCATGAAGGATTTATTGCAGGGCTGTTGTATTAGACTGCATTTGTTTTTATTGAGGTGTATAATATACATAACCGAGTGTATGTATTTATTTTTTATCGAGAATTTCCACGACTAGACCAAAGCCAGCAGTGACTGTCTCCTAACAAGTAGTGTGTGTATATCAAAGCCTGATATATCTTCTTCCTCTGTGCCAGAGAGCTCTATGTTGTTAAAAACACATCAATAAGCCCTTCTGTTGGCATGTTCCTTCGTAACCATGAACACACACACACACACACTGTAGTTTATTTTGACTCAATCCCATACACACCGACCTGCTGACCCAAGTATTCACTTAGGCACCAAATGTGGATTAATCTGAAGCTGAAAATAGTTCTTGAGAAAAGTAGATTTACTCATGAACTGTAGGCCTACTTCTAAATTCTGAAGTACTTGTGCTTTTTATATCACTTCATACTTCTACTCCACTACATTTCAGAGGGAAATAATGAATAAAAGCATACATTGCTGTATTGTTACTTTTACGTTAATAAATGTTCTCTTCTCTTCTGCCACCACTGAAAATAGTCCCCAATAAATACACTATTTCCTCCTATTTCGGTAATGTTTGCCAATAGTTACAGTGACCTGTTGTTTTAGGAAATGCCTGAACCTTTTTAAAACATAAAACTATGTATTCATGAGCCATTTTTAAAGTTTTGCATCTTCAGTAGGAATCAATGGGCTTTAAGCTAAGTGCCACTGAAGTCAGAAAGTATTTGAAGACGGACTAACACATTGTTGGTTTGGGTTTTTATGTGGGAATAGTTAGCAATAAAAAAATGTAGAATAACATCAGCCTTATCATCTAAAATGTTAGGAATGATGAAATTCTCAGGGTTGAAGAACTTGTTTGGCATTCACAACACATGCACAGTTTCTAAACTGCACTTTTGCACTTATCATCTTATGATCTGTGTTCTATTTTGTCTGTGTGTGAAATGCCAGAAAGAATCCCTTCTCCATTAGATGTAAGGACTCCGAGCCCACAAGCATGCATGCAGAGAAAGCGGTCTTACCTTCAGGTACTGTGGCGATGGTGGGGCGTACACACAGCTGTTCATTTTGTAGGTACGACAGTTGAGCTCCTGCTCTTTCGTCTTCACCGATAGCTCCACGGGAGTGTACGCACCTAATGTCACATTCTCTTGACTGAGAACACATGCACGCAAATGAAAACACACAAGTGGTAGAGGTCAGTTTCACAGGAACAGCAATCCAGGGGAGGCCATTAAAGGAATTGATAAGTGAGAACTTTACCTGTCTAGAGACTCCAGATCAGACATGCTCATCCTCCACACCACACCCCACACCTCGTCCCCCGGGCTGTGCTCTATGGTGGCCACACCTCCGTGCCACCGGTCACTGGCAAGGCCTTTGTAGTTCCCAAACACCAATCTATAGTCCTGAAAAGGAGAAAAAGGTTGTAAGTATGCACAGCTCACGTGGGACAGAATATTGATGCTCCTGATATCAGACCGTACCTTCAGCCTGGCCACGCAGTGGACCTTAGCAGACTGGTTCTTGAGCTGGAGCCGCTCCTTCAGCAGGTTGCTGCCATATGCGAAGTACAGGAAGGTGAGGTGATTCTCCATGTTGTCACCAGCTTCTGCCAGCGGGGAGACAAGAACAAGGAGGGTCGAGGTGAGGAAGATGACAAGCAGTCGGAGAGAGGCGCCACTGACGGAGCTCACAGAGCGGAGTGTGTGGAGGAGCGGAGGGCTGAGGGGAGAGAGCATGAGCTGCAGTGACAGAAACCAAGTACTGGCCTTCCAGCACTCGCACACCATTCTAATGCTAATCCCCTGCACTGCTATTGAGCCCTATTCACACTCACAATGGTTTGTCTCATGTGTGGAGCCAACAGCTCTGAGCCGTACACATGGGGAGTAATAAAAATACACACAAACACACACACACACACACACACGCGGGCGCACACACACGGACGCATAGCTGTCTAGGCAAGGCAAGGCAAGTTTATTTGTATAGCACATTTCAACAACAAGGTAATTCAAATTGCTTCACATAAAACCATTAAAAGCATCAAAACATAAGGCAAAAGAAAAGGAGATTTAAAAACAATTAAGAACATTCATTGAAACAATAAAAACAGTCATTAAAACATAAAAAAACAGTGTAAGAAATAAGTAGTAGAAACAGTAGTAAAATGCAGAAATGCAGGAAATTGATTAATATATTAATTGAATCTAGTTCAATTAAAGGCAGCAGCAAACAGAAAAGTCTTCAATCTTGATTTAAAGGAGCTGAGGGTCTCAGCAGACCTGCAGCTTTCTGGGACTTTGTTCCAGATATGTGGAGCAGAACAACTGAACACTGCTTCTCCATGTTTAGTTCTGACTCTGGGAACAGAAAGTAGACCGGTCCCAGACGACCTAAGGGGTCTTAGTGAGGACTCGAGCTGCAGCGTTCTGAATCAGCTGCAGCTTTCTGACTGACTTTTTACAGAGACCTGTAAACACACCGTTACAGTAGTCCAGTCTACTGAAGATAAATGCATGGACAAGTTTTTCCAAATCCTGTTGAGACACAGGTCCTCTAATCCTTGATATATTCTTCAGGTGATAGGAGGCTGATTTTGTAATTGTCTTGATGAGGCTGTTCAGGTAGACCTAGATTTCTGGCTTGTTTGTGGTTTTTAACATCAGTCATTGAAGCTGAGCGGTGATTTTCAATCGTTGGTCCTTGGTACCAAAAACAATTACTTCTGTTTTATCTTTGTTTAATTGAAGGACATTCTGGCACATCCAGTTGTTGATTTGTTCAATGCAGTTACCCAGCCCTTGTATGGGATTATAGTCCCCTGATGATATAGCTATGTAGATGTGTGTGTCGTCTGCATAGTTATGATTGTTGTTTTCCATAAATAAATAATATATCAGGTACAACTTTTTTACCAGAGATCACATGATAATAAAGTGATAATATCTTTGGAACAACAGGGTAACATTGGGGCTATACACTGGTAATAACAGAGGCAATAACCTGGTTAATATATTGCTGATAATAAAGATAATATCATAGTAACTTGAGAATAACAGGAAGACCATCCCAGCAGGGAAACAAATATCTCAACATTAACTTGTTAACAATAGGGAAACAACAGGACAGCATCCTTTACCAGCATATCTGGAAGATACAGATGTTTTGTATTTTCCAGCCCTGATTCTTGGTTATTATGACAAAACCACCATCTGTGTTTCCAAGTACGAAATCACAACATTTGAAGGAGAATTTTGACTGTTGTTTTCTTGTAATTATGACGGTATTTCACTGATATTACCCCAATATTTTTTGAGAAAATATTTCCCTAATACAACTAGATGATGCTTAGTTTTACAATGTTATTACTGAGATGTCTTTCCCCATTATAACCCTCCTGTTTGTGCCTCATCTTTGTCTGGTAACCGAACTGAATCCCCAATATTGTAACAAGGCTTATTACCAGGGTATTAACAGGCTATTACCTCTGTCAATTTAGTTGTCAATATATTAGCCCTTAATTAAACTGTCAATGATTACATGTCATGTGATGTGATACCAAATCTCATTAGGGATATATGAAAACCATATTGCTACATGACGGAGATGGCTGTTGTTTGAACCATGGGTCACTTTTGAAGGCACTTCCTATGCTTTGTCATATTAGCCTGCAGAGGACAACCAACATGTAGCTGTGTCATGGCTTTATTCTTTTTTCTCCATCACAATCAACACATATTGTTGGTGCAACACAGCATCAACAAGCACGTAGTACAAACACGGCACATGAAGGTATTTAATAGAGAGCGGGACATGTTTTCTGTGATGGCTGATGCTTAGTTGCCCATTGTTTGCACAATGGGCAACTGTTATGTGGGTTCAAAACACCGACACTCATTGTTTTCTATGTAAACCAGCTGTTGGGGACACGCCACTGATTTTTTCCCCCTGCTGCTGTTGTATGGCACCTTTCCAGAAAAGCTCCAATTTGACCACATTCGCTCCACAGATCAAAACAGTCCAACACTTTGACTACTTCTCGTGTGTCTGGTGAATGCTACAGGTGTCAACATACGCGACTGTATATGTTGTACTTTATGCTGCATAAAGTCAAATCTACTGTGTGTAAAACCAGAACTTCATTCTGTCTTCTTGAGGCCATTCATAGGCTATAACTATTGTCAGCAAAACTCTTTTTTAATATGATATAATTTGTAGTGTTTTCTTCTTCTTTGCCATTTTTGGAAGATTGCAATGACAACGTTTTTGGTGCATACACCAAACTACCGCATCATGTAGAACCGGATCTAGTTTTCAGTAGTCTGTAACACACTTTTTAGTGTTAATGCTAACCATACATATAACTATAAATGCTATGGTATGATTTTTACTTTAACTGTCAGTTGTGTTCTGTTTGCATATGTTTTAAGTCTTCCACACCCAGTGGCAAGAAGAGAAGAGCTCAGATATCTTTTCAGAGAAAGCTCATGGAATAGCATTTCTCCCTGTTCAGACAGAGTTGCAGATATTAGCTACTTACTGTTGTTTTTTGTCTTTTTTACAGTTTTAGTCCTTGTTTTAAAGAATACAATAATGTGTGTGTGTGTGTGTGTGTGTGTGTGTGTGTGTGTGTGTGAATCCTATTTTATTGTGCCTTTCATAATGGTGCTATCAAACTGGTCCTCTGTTTTCTGAGGGTGCAGTAGGCTACATGTTGAACAGCCACATTGTGTAAACTGACAGCATACTTGAACAGAGCACAAGAAACAATTTGCTTTGTGTGTTCAACTATAATAAAGGAGTCAAAACTTTGCTAATCAGTTTTGTTTGTATTCCTTTTTTTTCTTCATTGTCATTATATTTTTGTGCATGTATTCATTTTTCAGCATCACTCTGTCCCATATAGTTTTCTATTGTAAGAACTATTAATCACAGCTACTGTTTGCTTACATTTTATTTTAGCTTGATGGTTGCATGCCTGTGCTCATCTCGTCATTATTTTTGACCTGAATAGTGGTGAATTAAAATCCTTATTTTACAAACCTATTGTGCTTAGTTGTGTAATTCTTTATTATAAAATGTAAACTGCACTAACGGCCCCTAAATACCCTGAACAAACAATAACAACCCATGCCCCTTTGCAGCACCTTTCATCAGAAGCATAAAATGGGGCAGCACTGACCACTTGTGGCTCAAATCAAACATCGCATTTGTTTTTCTCTGAAGAAGTATGTTAAAGTGAACTGTTAGTTGTGACCCGTCTAGAGTTTCTAATCCACCAAACCCACACAGACACAGAGAAGATCCAGCTATGATCCAAAAAACAATGGGAGATAGAACATTGTGATACCAAACAATCCTGTTTCCCCATCTGCCACAAACAGATCTCATTTCAAAGCCCACTGGCAGAAGGGAGGGATGTTTACAGTAAAAAATATACATTTTCCTCCAGAGTACATCCCATGAACCATAAAGCCCATAAATAACAGCTGTCATAAGTACCGTTATTTAGAACTGAGGCAGTGAGCTGCCCCACATCTGTATCCAGTCCCTATAAATCACGGCTGCTTTCTCTGTGGAGGAACACTAGCTGTTGCTGCTTGAGTGAGGCAAGACACTTCTGTGTTTGGGCAATCTATTGTGATGCAGAGGGTAAGCTGAGCTGACCCACACAGTAGGAGGACCTGAGAGGGGACTAACCCCATCGCTGCTGCTGCTTCCCACAGAGATGTGAAGCCCTCCGTCGGGACCAGACAAACGGTAACTGCAGCATTTTACGCAGGAGGGTTGTTCATGTGTCTTGGATAGAAAGAAACTACATTGTGTGCAAAAGCAACTTTATATGTATGAAGGCTTAAGCATGCATGCAGCAAAAGGCCATCAGCGGGCTGCTGGAATCTAATTTATTGTTGAGAATCCAAGATTAAATACATGTTAAGGAAAATGATTCATCTTTCATTTATATGTTTAAGAATTACACAGCAACCAGCAGGCAACCGTGAGAAAGCCTCCAATCTCTCTATTGCAACCCAGGCCATTCTTTTATTTTTCATTTATATATTTATACAACTACACATCAAACAGGACGTGAGAACAGTGACAACGACTCCAATCACTTGGTTCCTATCCAGACAACACATGTTCCTTGCCGCATCTGTAATGTGAAACTAAATGGAAAAAAGCACAGTCGCCTTTTTTCTTTAATCAGGTAATGCTTTATGTGTGCATTTGCTGGGGTGATTCACCTCGTGGTCATGTGGAATACAGTGCATTGGTGTATTAATTTGATAAATTAATCATATCAAGGATGATTTATGAAATTGTCACATTTTCTTCGTGGCATATCTGAAAGGCACAGTTTTAAATTCTCCGGTTTGGTTCTATTTACACAATAAGCACAGAGGGACCGAGAAACTCATCTGAAACTTCACTGTCAGCTGATTTGAGAATTTGGGGTTTTAAGGGTTTGTAAGTCAAATAAAATGCATAGGCAGTAAAAGACACACACAAACAAATACATAAGAAAAACCTCATGAAAGTGGTGCAAAGAGCATGAGGAACATAATCACCATTAAGATGCTGCCGGTAACACTTTAGTGATGAATGTCACATTCTCTGTAACACTAAGTGTGAAAGTTCATTCTTCCCCTTGAATAGTCGTTTAAAAACCAATATAAACTCTTGACATAAAAGCACTTCCTAGCTTTCTCTGTGGTTCACTAATATTCACTAAAGAGTTGAAAGTCAACACATTTGTGCAGTTAAATTATTTGACAGACATTATGCTGTGCAAACCATATCATTTTGAAATAAATGTTTTTTTTCTGACAAATTATTAATGGAGAAATGTATGACATATATATATATGCACAGAGCCTCACCAGGAGGCATCATATCATTGTGTATTGTGTGTAAAGGAGGTAATGGGCTCCGTGTGTCTAATATATACAGATAAGCAATTATTCAAACAACAGCAAACGTTTTGCTACACAGACACCTGGGGCCTTGTTTGGGGTCCTGGGCCAGTTGCACATTTCTGGTGGGTAATTCAGCCATGTATGAAGTAAATATGCCTCAAGTGTACTGTGAGAGGGGATCTCTATAGGAGAGGAGCAGTTCGGAGGTCCAACAAAGTTTTTGCAGAGTATATGTGCTTCACACAAACTGAAGTGCTTGTTCCTGCTGCACAATGCTTTGTCCCCACCCCTCCCCCCCATTTCACAGGCGTACTCCCCTTATGGATGGAGCTAAGATGTCAAGGTCGGGGTCCCTGGCATAGGAACTCTTTCAGTGTTTTCTTATTCCTGCCGATGGTGCTGTTTCAGTTTGCTCACCAGATGGCAGCGTGCACATATTAATGCAGTTTTCACACAATGGCAGTAGTGTCCATTTCTCTGTTCGCCAAGTGAAGGTGTTCCACTATTCCACGTGTTCAGCACGGCACTGACACACACGCGTGTGTGTGTCAGTGCTGTGCTATGGATCTCTTTAGATCATGTCTTATATTGTATTTATCTATGCTCAGTGGTGAAAAGTAAGTAAATACATCTACTCAAGTAGTTTTCTGATGTACAACCCAGGAGGTTCTCAATACATGTACACCATATTTCTCCTCTACGTGTATATGATCACAGGTATGAGTTTCTTTAGAGCTTCAGATTTGACAGACTGTATTAATGTATTGTCATGGATTAAACTACTGAACAGTGTACTAAAATAGTTAACATTACAGTAGCTCCATGTGTCAATAATAATGATGATCCAATAATATAATACATATACAGTATGTACATATAACAATATGAAGTGTGTCATTCTGCACTATGTCAACTTTAACCTTTGAGTTTAACTTACTTAGAGTATGTTCACACTGTTGAATTACTGGTATTATGTACTGCACTGGTACTTCACCTCTCTATGTTTAACAGCCTGCCCCGACTGTAAAATCGGACAAGTTGATTTTACTTAAAAATGTAAGTAAATATTTTCACCTTATGTTACGTTTACTTCATTTTGGGAAGTTGTTCCAACTTAAACACGGTAGGTGAATTCAAGTTGTTCTTTGTAAGTGTACCATGTGGTGAATCAAGACAATGAAGAAGCACCCAACAATCCAGGAGACGACAGATGTGATAAGAGATCTTTATTTGAAAAACAAATACAGAGCTTGTTCAGTCCCCCGCCCACCCTGAGACGACGGTCTACAGTCATGTGTTGCATAGGTTTGTTTACTACAAAGATCAGATGGAGGACAAGGTGTCAAACCTTCAGGAGGAGCCTGGCTCCAGTTAACGCTGCTTCTATCAAAGATTGAGAATAGAGAGAAATAATTTAGAGCTACGACGCTGCAGATCAAAATACTACAGATTATCATACTTCAGGACTGCTTGTTTTAGCGATGAGTCATCTACTTCACATACTTGGATCCACAGGACTGGACTTCAAAGTACTACAATAATCCATTTTGGTCAGGTACTCCCATAAGTACTGGACTATTTCACACCACACTGGTGCAGTGGTCCTGACCCTCACTACAAATGTATCTACAAAGTGCAGTATGGCACTTATCAGTTACAAATAGCAGACACTTAGGCATTCCTATACACATCAACCATTACTTGTGACTTCATTTGGTCAGATGCAGCTGTTTGAGGAACAGTGTGTGGGAAAAGTTGGAGGGTTAAGAAAGCTTATTATATTAAGAAATATTATTGGATTCTTTGAGGTGATGGAGTTTTGATTTGACACACCTTGTCAGAGGTAGAGCAGCTCATTAGTAGGAGGAGCCAGATAACTGCAGGAGGCCAACTCAAGTTAGTTACTACAAGGAACTTTGATTTTGTCTCGATTTTGGCGGCCCGAGTGGACGAAGGCAGTAGTGTATCTGTGAGCACCGCAGCTTCATGTTGTTAAGATCAGCTTTTGGAAAGTCCCTTGTCAGAACCTGGCAGCAGGTTCTGACAGTGAGTCCTGGTTCTCCCGTGCCTCCCTTCCCTCCAGTGGGCCCATTAATAGGGCCTGGGCCTCCAGCAGCATGGTGTCGGTGTTGACGGTTTGGTGAGCTCCAGGCTCTGAAACAACAGACGGTTCCAGCTGCCCAGATGCAGCTACTCTCCGTCCCCCAGCACAGGCACTTCCCGCCGAAGTCGATAAATAGGTCGTCCTGGACAACGTGAAAGATCCTCCCGACCACCACCTGGTCTTTGCTGGTCCCATCTAGATCAGCTGGGACCGGCAAAAAAAAAGAAAACGTGGCGCAGCTCTGCTCCTGGCAAGAGGCGGAGCCACTGCTGCCTGGTGCTGGAGTCTGAGCTGAAAGAGTTTCTGGTCTCGTTACATTGAGTCTGTTTCATAACCAGGGAAAAGTTCCTTGTAGTAACTTTACCAAACCCTCAAACTTATAAAAAGCAAAGACGGAACTCTGGTGAAAATTTACATTTAAACATGAATTGTAATCAGTACCTTTAATCGCTCATTTATGGACACAGAATTCAAAGTCAACAGGCTAAATAGTGAAGCCTCACAGCTAAAGTAACAGCTAAAGCAGCAAAGATGACTTTGTACGACTACACTTTGTTTCATTTAGCTGTAAAACCGCACGCTCATATCTTGATTTTAACCAGGTTTGAGCCAGCTCTCCCACATCCAATAAATAAATTAAATATAATAAGTGAGAGTGTCATGTAAATCTGTCATCTGACCTGGACAAATAAAACTAAAAGTCCCTGCATGGAGTGATACCACTAGAGGCAAGTGAGCGAGTATTTCTGCCGGCTAACACAGTAACATGGGTGAAGTGACCCATTAAAGTTAGAACCTTTTCCCAGCTTCAGGATCAAACTGCAGCACAGTAAATGTCCCAGTGAGCTATTTAGCTGGTGTATAATGGGGCACAGATGCACTTCTTTTCCCAGCCCATGTCTATTGTAACATAATGGTTGACTGGAGGGTTTTTATTAGATGTTATGACAGTGAAAGTGAACCTCCATATGATCAAGGATGGAGCCTTCCCTTCATGAAGAAAAGAAAGCTCTCTGTCATACAAAGTTGAAATGAGTTCCAACACAGAGAAGATCAGTGCGCTGCAGCTTCAGCTCAAAAGAGAAACTAGTCCGACTACATTCCACCCTGGGTTGTTTTTCATAGTGGCTAAATAGTTCATCCATCCATTCTCACAAACGTACACCTAAACATAAACACACACACATTGCTCACACGTATGCAGTGTACGCTATACTGTACAGTGAACTGTGCAAAACTGTTGTGACCGACAAGGTTGTTTCGTACTTTGTGCAAACGACTAAAAAGTGAGGGGGGGGGTTTGGATCTAGTATCAGAAAAAAATTGTCCCGTTGTGTCCGTTCCGTCTGTAATACTGTAATCTCAAAAGTGGCTGTACCCGTGTAAGATCGGTCTCAACTCACTGCTGAGCCAACATGTCTCTGATTGGACAGGACTGGAAGTGTGTCCTTTTTTCCCTCCTGTCTTTGGTACCACTTGTTCTGTTCTCTCCGTCTCCTCTTCTCAGTCTCTCTCTCTCCCTCTCTCCTCGCATCTTTTGTCGGCCAGCCCTCAGCCTCGATCGCTCCCCTCTAGTCATCTGGGATTGGACAGCTGCTTCCGAGGCTCCTGGTCAGTGAGCTTTCCACAGAGGGTTGTGGTAGACCCAGCCTTCACCCTACACACACACACACACACACACATGCAGAATGAAAGAGTCAACAGCAACTCAACTTAAAGGGTATTTTCCCACCTATTTTCCCGTGTTTTTGTGTCTAAGTGACTAATGGGGACAGCAATTCTCTGAAATTGGTCCAGTATTGAGGGAGAACACTGCAGACGGGTTGTAATGTAATCGCTCGGGGGAACTCCACGTAGGCTCAGCTTGTTATTATCAGTGTCTGACAACACTTTGGAAAGGGCCCAATAGAGTAATAAAACCTTTTACTTGACCTGGTCTGTTTCTTATTGTGTCAGTTCAATTCAATTTATTTAGCCCAAAATCACAAATCACTAAGTTGTAATGGCAATAGAACCTGTTACTGGCCACTTCTAGTGACACTAAGACGGTGGATGTCACTGGCGTGCACTCTTCTTCACCTCTTTAATAAAATATTTGGGTTTCCAGGGGGTTTTGGTCGCAGCTCTCTGCTTGCCCTCCCTGCGCTGCCTCTCTTCCAGGCGGTGTTTGTGTTCTGTGGCTGCGTCCATATTTCCCGTCTTCAGCGATGCTGTGACGTGCTGCCAAAGACGCCTACAGATCCGGGACACACAGAACAAGAGCACTCATCATTGCTATGCCTGGGAAACAGAGGAAATACAGCTCGCTACACAATGGCGTCATTAAAAGACATGTGCAACAGTGTGACTTCATCAGGGGTGGCCATCGGCAACTTGATGATTGAGCAGTAGGCATTAAGAAATCTGCTAAAAGCGCTGCATTTTCCATTTACGCCACACAGTCGTTTATGGGCTTAACCTCTTAAGCTCAGGCCCTATTTGTAGGCCTCTGCTCGAAAATGGCATTGTTTTTGTCTGATGGAGTAATCTGGTTTACTTAAAAGTGATTGCAATTTTCTTTATTCTATTATTTGAAAAAGCACAGACGGAGGAGTCACAAAATGTTATTTCAATAAAAGTTCAACATGGACCATTTTCTTACAATTTTGTTGTGGCAGTGGGGCATGAACATTTTTCTTCCTCCAAAGTGGGGCACGACAGAAAAAGTTTGAGAACCACTGGCTTAATGAATGAACAAATGAATGAATCATCTTTATTTACATTAATCATCATTGGGCCTGATAAACCGTACAGTGAAGGGGTCAATAAATAGATTAAAAGTAATACTAAAATCAGGTCTCATGATTCTTAATTGCAAAAGTTCTGATCAGTCAGTTGTTGACGAGACCCTGGTCCCATTCACATATAAGGCCAAGTCGAGCATGAAGATAAAAGCACCTGAGCAACAGCTTTAGTTTGCTACAAGCTGCGCTCGCCACACTGATAATGCACCGAGACAGAGCTGTACGTATCTTACGACTTACGTACAATAGTGGAAGCACTTAAAGCAGTGTTTAACTTTAAATGAACAAAATAGACTTGACGTGTTGAAGTGAAACGCAAAGACTCACCGTGACTCATACGGGCCCTGCTTCTCTGGAGGCTGGATCTTCTTCTTGATGATTGGCTGCTTGGAGGTATCAATCACCTTGCTTTCCCCGTTGCTGTAGGTGAACTCCAGCATCCCGTTCCACTCCCCCTGGGCCTTGCACACGATGTTTCCTGTCTGGTTGTGCTTCACCTCTGCTGTTACTCTGTGAGGAATAAACAAGCGGGTTCTTTAGCATTCGTGACTGACGAGCACAGCCATGTTATTATTATCAGCAACATTTTGTACAGGTTGCCACCTGTATATTTTGTTAGAATGTGCTGCCTTTCAACAAGTAATTATCACATAATACAGCATGTTCCGAACATCTGCAAGGACAAATACAAGTCAATGGGATGCTCATTCTTTGAATCTGTAAATGGTTCATTGTACCATCCCACTATTATCACACCACGGTTGATACTAATCAGTCTACATTCCTTAAAACAATCCTTGATTAAGCACTTCACTCCTATAACATCATCAGACTCACAATACTCCCATTGCTTTTAAAAGCCGGGTGCCCCTTCAAACTCAGAGTTCAGGTGGATGTTAGTGCCAAATTTGAAGAAATTCCCTCAAGGTGTTCAGGAATAATGGACCGGATGGACAACCCCGAAATGTTATGCCTCCAGCCACAGCTGTTGCCAGTGCGGAGGCACAAAAAATGCTGCAAATAAATAAAATCACTCAAGACACTTGAAATACAGAAAGAAATGTTATTGGAGTACTAATAATATCTGGCTTTATGCACATATGCTTAGACACATACAGTATTCGCAGAGACACAGGCTCTACTCTATTGTGGTCACAATGCCAGTGGTTGGGATCATTTTTTGTTTTTATACAATTACACGGTGCTAATCTATTTTGCACCTGTAATTTCTTGGCTCCAAACGAATGTGTTTGTGCTGAGGTGGGAGGAGAGAGTGGGATTTTGGTGGCTTTTTTTGGCACAAAATAGGGTTTTTTCTAAACCATTGGCTCTCTGCCTACCTGTGTACTTTTCCTCCGTAGAAGGGTTTGGTGTGGAAAGTGACAGTGGCAGAGTACCCACTCTTGGCACAGTTGATAGTGACCTTTCCCCCGAGTTCCACCCACGGCACGGTCAGGATGGAGCGGGCGTAGGCACAGGGCAGTGTGAACACATACTCCTCATCATGCTCCAACAAATACAGCACGCCTGGGAGAAACAGGACAGGTTGAAAAGAGAGACAGCAGGAAGAACCACCTGCGGATGTTTATTGTCAACACGTTCTCACTCTCAACTAGTCAAATACCGACGCTTGGTCAGTGGCCCTACACTTCAAACTATGAGCCTCTAGGTACCCCTGTAGCATCAGTTTTGGATGTATCAGTTATCACTCCGTACATTCATTGTATATTTTCAAAATAAAAGTACTTCGTTAAGCTCAGGAAAAGATTGTGGTTTGGGTTAGAATAAGCAGATGTTTTTTATGTAACTGGCCTTAGTTCGAAATTTATAAAACAAAACTACGATAAAATAAGTCAACATTGACTTGGTTTCATACGGGACACAAACATTGGTCTCCTGGGTGAAAGTCCTGTGTTTGTAAGACCCAAACATCCTCTCATCCCATCCACTCTGAGTGAACTTCCTCACTCTATATACTACGTTGGTTGCTGTCTAATAATGACTTGAGTGGGTTTGTATTGGAGTGAGTTGAAAGCGCGGTGCTTCTCGTAACAACGCTAAAGAGTGCCTCGGTGTGTCGGTATCAGACCCCAAGAAACGCTGACCAAGCGTTGGTATTTGACAGGTTGGGACTTGGGAGTGAGAACGGGTTGTTAATGTAGAATTACTGCTGTGATTAACACAATAGACCTTCAGACACCATGTGAATCTATAAAGACAAAGCATAGCAGTTACATATTTGAAGTGGAGTAAAAAGAACAATATTCCATTGAAACATGGTGATGTTAAAGTATAAAGTTGACATTCAGAAATTGAGTACAAGTGACTTAAAACTGTTTAGGTACAGTGAGAAGTGTAAGCCAGTACAAACGTCTTGAGTAAATGTATTTAGTTACATTCCATCACTACATACAGAACATTTTTGTGAGCTTGAAATTGCCCTTCTCTGTCATTTTGGTCCCCACCCCACGCAGCTAAACCCAGTGCAGCGCAGCTCAACTCAGTGTACATGTGCGATGTAACCCCACACACTTCCACCACACATCAGACTGGCCAGTTATCACCCACAAATTTAGCCAGTTCAGAAGGAAGACAAGATGACCAGGGCTCATTAATCCTGTGCGCCGTCATGACCTCTATTTCCAGCAAAAGTGGGGTTTCGTGTTATATTCTTGGAATCCCTTGTGATGAATATAGCACTTGTTATGCAGATTTACTATTTTGATCGCCGTGTTGTGAATCAAAAGTGGCAGTGTTAGCGGATACAGTGTGAATGAACTTTCATTATCTCCACAAACATAAAGAGCTGTGAAAACCACCATCTGCCTCTGGCTGCAGATTTGTGCGGAGTTATTTTAGCCATGCTGCCCTGCATTGCTCTGGGGATGGCACCACTTTGGTCCAGAATAAAATAACTCAACACACACTGGATAGATGGCCATGATGTTGCATACAGACATTCCTGGTCCCCAGAGGATGAATCCTACTGACTATGGTGAGCCTTGTTGTATGTTGGACTCACCCTCCTGAGATCCTGTCTCTAGCTTCCATGGATTTTGAGAAAGTCAGAGGAGCTAAAACAATGGCATTGCATTGCGATTCAGAATCCCGCTTTGGCTCTGATTTAGGCTGCCTCCTGTCCCTCGTGAGCTCCCGTCCAGCCCTCCCTCTCTGCTGCTTATATAACAGACAGCTGTCCTGTGCCCAGTCTGCTGCCATGGGCCCAGGTCTAACACATACACATCTGTTTGCCCAAGACACACACATACGGACACACACTTCCTCATCTAAAAGACCCACAAGCAGAAAACACACACAATGTCCTTATTTCCTATAGTGTGTGATTTTCCCCCCCAGATGTTTTCACTTGATTGTGTGCATACAAGCATGTGTGTATTTGTGCATCTGTGAAACAAAGACCTACATGCTGCAGTCAGTCAGTCATGCTCTAGCCGCTGCTACACAGGGAGCTGACAGATTAATCCAGGTTGATATGTCATAAATAAAGGAAAGGAAGCTGTTTAGTTTAGATTTCATATCACAAAACAGTACAGTTCATAGCATAACATTGTCCTTGTTTGCCACTCAGGCTTGTATTTAACGCGTGGCTTTTTTCCGAGGGTCCGAGGGTGAGAGCGGTGAACAAGGATGTGCGGCAGCCTGGAAGTGCTACAGTCTTGTTCAGCTGCAGAGGGAAAGTGGGCACGGTGACATGCATTCCAGATGTTGTCATTGCTGACTAAGAAAGAGTTTGGGCCTGTTCTGTATCTCACAGCTGCAGAGGTCAGCAACCTTTTTTCGATGTTCTTGTTAAGTGTATCCATATCAACATTAAGGTTAACATTAAGTTTAATTGTGACATCAGAAATAACAGATCTGTAATTTCATGTCATGCATACAGGCAGTGTGAATAGCAACACTTTATAAGAAGAATGTTCTCCTATAATCAGGACATCGTAATTATACATGAGAGCACTTCTTATGAAAACATCCACATCTGAGATGATATCATTAACCCTACCAACCTTCCACCAGTCTGTTCATCAGTAACACATTTAGAGGTGCAAAATATGGAATTACAAGCATATTCATCACCTCCACACGGCTCCCAACATGGCGGCGGCTGGACCATAATAGTGCAAACAGTGGCAACAGTGCTGACAGCCAACTGTGTTTACCTGAAGGGGAACCGAAACGGTGGGTGCTGCGCCTCTGTGACGACGCTCCGGGTCGGGACGACGTTATCGGCTGTAAGCGCTGTATGAGTTAGCCAGTGGGGCCCGCTCACATGACTAACATACAATAAAAGGCATGCGCTACATCAACGACGCACAGACAAGCTCGGACTACAATACAGAGGGAGAGTGACTTCATTCTCTGCTCAGTTAGACATTAGTTCACTATATCTTTACATAGTGAATAGCTGTTTGCTGCTGTATTAATGCTCTGCATCTTGTATAGAGAGCCTTTTACAGGCTGTCTTTGGCTTCAGGGCACTGAGGAAAATTAGCTCGATGTTTTTCAGAACGACACCAACAAACAGGTGCAGGAGGATGTAGCAGTGGCGTGGGAGGACTTGGGTGAGGGTACGTTTTTTTAATAAAAAAAAAAAAATCTTTTAAGAGGCACGTGAACAGCGCTACACAGCTTATCCTGGGACACTACTATCTGCTGCCATTGTTTTGGCTTGTTGAACAGGCGATTCTACTTTTGTTGCAATTGTAACCGCTTTATCCAGTGTTGAATCTGGTTCAGCATGCAGCATTGACGCTGGGATTGGTCGCAAGTTAAATTAGCTGGTCACGGATCATTTAATCAATGTTTATCAAAATTACATTTTGTAACACGGTCATGCAGCCACACACTGCGCAATGGTCTCATGGAGTTCCTGTGCGCGCGTGTTTTCTGGCATGAACTTTCCCTTTGGCCGTGTTTCTAAAGCAGCAACGGCAGAGCGAACAGCATCAACCTGCGTCTGGCAATGAGTGGAGGATCCCCTCGGTTCCGGGGACATGGAGTAAAGTGGCTTTTCCCCAGAGTTTTAGGCACGTGGCGCGTGGCCCGTGGCATTTTTCACCAGCAAGTATTTGTATTCGTACATCTGCATCCACATGTCGAAAGGCATCATGTGCTGTTGCGGCAAAGCTGGCTGTGCGGCGAAGGGAGTTTTTGCTCATGACGTTTCGCGGGTTTAGGACCGTGACATCGTCACCACTAAACGTACAACAGCTCTTGTCATATGCAGTTGTGTGATGTTTATCTCCTGTGTACCAAGTTATCAAACTTTTGCAAATTTCTAAAAGTAAAACGTGATAAGGAGGAGTCATCGAGGACTGGTCCCCGCTAATGAATGCTTACTGCTGGCCTAATTACAGCTAGCTTTCACTGGCCCGAGGCTACGCAACCACACTGGCCTGCTTTCCACTCTCTCTCTCTCTCTCTCTCTCTCTCTCTCTCTCTCTCTCTCTCTCTAATAAACACACACACTTATTAATAAAATAAGTAACACTATTTTGCTGGTTGCCTTTAGTTACATTGTCCTAAAGTTATCTTGAGGTTACATTCAGTTAAATTTGGTTATGCTTATATGTTGCCAAACTGCTGCCAAAAGGTAGAGAAGCTATTTGTTAAACCATTTACATGATTTCATAAAAGCTGACAGTTGTTATTCTAAAAAATGACTGATGCAGAGAGAGGACTGGCGGAGGCCACTGATTCTAAGTGACTTCAGTGATGTGAGGAGGATTTGTCCCTCTGAACTTACTACATCCTCAGGATGTCACCTTATCCTCGCCCGACGCTGTTCTACACATAAACTTGAGGAATAGGTTTGAAGTCAGCTCATCCGATGCATGGGTGTCTAGTCTCTGTCTAGTTTCGCAGCAGCCTGGCGTTAGCTGTGTAAGATGTAATCAATGTGAACACAAAATGCAAACGTGGATGACACCACTCTGTTTTGCTGAAACGGTTTTCCAATTAGAGGCTGCAGATGGAGCACACATACGAGTGCTGCTGTTTTGGAGAGCTGTGGGGATTTAATCAGCTGAAGGAGGCTCTCGTACAGTCTGCAAACAGCTGTGGATGTCAGATTGCGGTAATGATTAACCATTTAATCCATCTGACAACAGACTGCTCTGACATTTTTCTCGTTATTGTTATTCAAAACCCCAGGAACTTCTTTTAATAATGTTCCAAATATGTCTACTGGTTTCTGGTACTGGCAATTTATTTATTTCATCCAACATTATTAAGACATTTCTGCCAGATCCAACAGTTTGTATGATAACTTACAATTATTTTTGTTGGGTTTTGATTGTGTTTTCCTACAAATGTCCAGAAACACAAGCAATCAGTGTGTTTGGACAACACCCTGTGGTGTTTAGGCCAAACAACTATTTGGTTAGGTATCAGAAAAGATCGTGGTTTGGGTTAAAATAACTACTAAAGTATTCATTTCAGAAGTTACCAAACAAATAGGTCAACGTTTGGGTTAGAATAACTAAGAAAGTTACGTTACTTAAGAATGGTAGTTATGTGACAAATAAGTCAACGTTGACTTTGGTTTCACACGGGACACAAACAGCGGTCTCCTGGGTCAACTTATCCTCATACAACAGTTTGTATGATATCTTAAGAAAAGTTACTACTCATTTTTTGTGCGTTTTCCTACGAAAGCCAGAAATATATATACCTTTCTGATCATTACATGCATATGGTCTTTTCAAAATAAACTTCTGTCTTCACAGTAAACAACTAAGTTAGGTTTAGGCAACAAAACCACTTAGTTCGGTTTAGGAAAAGATCGCCGTTTGGGTCAAAATAACTACGGAAGTGCCGTTACGGAAGTACGCAAGTTACCTGATAAATAAATCAGTGTGACTTCTTGTTCCAAATGGGGACCTAACAGCAGTCTCCCGGGTCAAAGATCGCTGATTGTTGGACCCAAACACTGCCCCTCCCACCCGCCCCTGGCTTTTGCGGCCTCTATACTTCCTCGTTTATGATTAAGTTGATAACATAAGCAATGATTTTGTGGGGTACCTACCAATTACGCCACACTCATTTTATTAGGTATAGCTACGAACGCTGGATGAGACCAGCCTGCCTGAGTGAAGTTCTGGTGTTTTTAGACCCACCCATCCACCCCAACTTTTTCTCCCCTCTTTGTACTACATCACCTGTCCTGGGTCACGATTACGTGGTGTACATACAAAATGATAACGTGGGTTGTATACGAATTACAGTGCATTACTGTTCATAGGTATACAGAGTACAGTGTGCACTCTTGTACCATCTGCACCGCAGCAGGGCATTACAATCCCAAACAAATGGAAGAAACAGCTCTTCAAGGTCAGGAGAATATCAACCTGTAACCATGTTCCTTGTGCAATTATTTGCAATGCTCTGGAAATCAGGCACACACTTGTTTTTTTAGAACAGGCTACACGTCTTACCTTCCCCGACCATGGACACTCCAACAGACATGCCCAGGAACTTGCTCTTGGTCCAGATGTGAGTGTTGACACACATCTTCTTCTCCTTGCACTCGCAGTAGAAGCCTGACACAGGTGGGTGGTGGGACACCTGCTCCGCCACGAACCGAACACGATAGCAGTCTGAGTTTCTTCTGCTGCTGCCGTCCGTCCCCCTCTGTGGGGACCCGGGAATGGTAGAAGTGGCTGTGGGTGCCGAGATGGGCGCGGTACAGTTGGTAGTCCTGAGAGGTCGAACCCGGTCCCGAGGCACATACCAGGAACAGTGGAAGTTCTCACCCAGGATTGGGTTGTAGGGCTTCTTGGCCACGGCACCCTTCCGGCCCTCGTGGAAGGCAGTCAGGTAGTACTCCACAAAGCGGACAAAGCGCTCCTCTGGCGTGCAGCCAGAGGTGATGGAGAGGAACATGTTGGGGTGAGCCATGAAGTTGGCGTACATCTCCAGCAGGGAGCGCTTCTCCAGGATGAAGGTAGGGAGCACCACCTGACAGAGGGATGGACAGAGATGACAACAAAAACATGTAAAATCTACTGTGTGATCATTGTGCAGACGTCCTACAGTTGTGGTTGTATGAAAAAGATACACAAGTGAACAGAGGTGTTTTTGCTTTCAACATGATAGACAGGCTGACGTCTGAGGGGATCCAAAGAAACCTGATCCATAATGTGACTCATGTGTCTCTAAAGCACCCTTGAATACCTCCAGTACCGATGCCTTCTTATCCTTAAACATCAGCCTGAAATCTCAGAAATTAGGTTCCCATACAAGGAAACTGCATTGTCGATTACATTTGAAAGGAAATGCATTTTCATTGTCTATATTGCCGGTTGATTCATCCAAGGCAAGTGAGTTTGTATCTCGTTGTCTTGCTGCAGTGGAATGTGACAGCGGTATCTAATTTATTTTCTCTTTCCTTTCATCCTTTTGCTTTCCTTATAGCGTGGCCTCCATCACATCACTCATACACTCTTTTAGTCATTTTAGTAAAAGTAAAGTATGATTGCCTCGGAAAATGCAACAACTTAGATCAAATTTGGGCTTTTATGGACAATTATATTCACCTATAGCTTACAATCCTGAAGAACACTTGTATTAACACTAGTCATTGGTGACACACCGGCATTTCATACACACAAACAAAAAACACACACACACACACACATCCCAGCTAAAGCTTGATAAATCAATAAAGTTATATCATGGTAACTAAGACAGAGGGCTGTTTGACAGCTCTATGTGTATTATAGGCAGGAGTAGAATCAATAATGCGATAGCAAGCACTGTCCTTTCCCATCTCTTTCCTGACAAACATCATCAGGGGACTGACACATGAACTGGCCCATATGTATTATAGGTCCACTAACAGCTCCAATGGTACGGTGTGGTTTCATGTCATGTGATGGGGAAAGTTTTACTTCGTAATTTGCCGAAACTCTCTGTCGTCCTTCAGATTACATAAAGTCAAGCCCGTTACACAACCTGACTGTCCATATGATGACACCTCGCGGTCAAATTTGACGTTTTGATCGAGCCACACCAGAGGGCCTGAGTCAAAACGTCGATCCCTGTCACACTGCAACACCACGAGTCAATATGGACATGGCAAGAGCAAATGGTTCTTTCATAATCTGCCCACAGACCCCCCCGTCTCTCAGGTATTCGAGGTCAGAATCCCCTTCTGTTGCACATCGTTGGCACATTATCCCTGTGATCCAGAGCACTGGTCCAGCAGTAATCAGGTTGAGCTCACTGGTCTGAGAGAGTCATCACAATCACATGACCAGAGGACATCTGACTAACTACAACCAAAAACCAGGGCGGGGGGGGGGGACAAAGAGGAAGGCAAATGTTAAATGAATACGAGATGGTGTATTATTTATAGCACTGGCCCAAATATAGACACTAGTTTCACCACGGTACGCTGGTGGTAACAAGTAGTAACGCTGCAGCGTTTTGTGGTCTACCATTTGCGCTGGTCTAAACTGCCGGGCTGGGTTCATTAATCCAACCTGTTCACACTCCCAACTCAATAGCCTCTGCCCGCTCTATGTCGGCTTGGACAGGCCCCGGGTGAAGGCAGCTCGCGGCTCTGAGTAAGCTTTACAGCACACTCTCGCTTGGACCTTGTCGCTCAGCACTGGGAACTGGCTGACAGCATTGTTTCTTGGACGGGGTCTATCTCGTTGAAGGTTTGGTCTTTTCACACGCTACCTAAAACCTAATTGATAAAGGTAGAATCTTACACTTACCCGTGTGAGGTCCATGCCAAGTTTCAGCTGGGACAGGAGGTGAATCATGATGCTTCTCTGGTCATCCAGAACTCCCAGGTCTTCCTCCTCATTGTCCTCTGTGTCTGTGGTCTCGTCGCAGGGATCCAGGGTTTCTTGGCTGCTGGTTTGGCTCTGCTGCTGTCCCTGGTGGCGGAGACACAAATGACTATTGGGAAAACTAGCAAGAAGAGGGCCTTGTGAAATAGATAGCACAGATAGCGAAGACGGGAGTAGAACGCCAATGGCAGGCTTATACCCAGTCTACATCCGGTGAGTCAGACTACAGGGACATAGACAGATGTAGGCAGACTTAATGCACATATCGGCAAGTTCCGTTATCTATTTAGACGTTTGTTTGGGACTTTTGGAAGAGCAAAACAAAGTCCAGCTCAACAAACACTCTCATCATGTAATTCTAAAGGTGTATACTGTGTGGTCAAAAGGATGGGGACAACCCTTCCACATACCTTTTTGCCTTTGGCTGTTTGTAGTTGTGTTTGTTGTACTTAGTTCCAAGCAGGGAAAACTTAGATAACTTTAGATAATCATGCGCTTTCGGCTTTGAGGCAACAGTTTGTGTTTGATCATTTTCTGTTCCTTCTGTCCACGCTTGTGCGTTTCTGCAAGCATGATGCGAGGCTGATATGAAACATATTCATGAAACATTATTTTGGTTCAGAAACGTAGACATTCAATGTATGCTGTTGGTTTGATGAAATGTACAATGCCAACATTTTTTCTGGCAACCGGGTTGGGCCGGAATGTGGTCTTCTGTGCCCTGGTCTTCTTGACCTAGCCCTCTCTGACAAAAGGTCCATGGGAGACTAAAGATCAAGAGTGTTATCAGCTGGTCTGGTGAAAAGACAACTACCATCCTTTCTCGACCCTCTCTCCCTTCTATCTAATTTCCCTTCTTCTGTCTGTTCCTTTGCCTATTGACTTTGCTGTACATCCTCAGCTGGAGCATGAAATGAATCGATCGATCAGAAGAACAGGACAGATTGGCCTCTCAGTTGCTGCCCTCCTATTTCCAGATTAGGTTAATATCATCGAACCATTCTAACTGAACGAAAAAGGGAAAGATTCTTAAGGACCCCATTTGAAGAGTCTGACATTAAAAGAGGAAACTGTGGCTTCAAAATGGAACCATTTCAATTTGAATGTGTATTATTATAAGTATGGTTTTGGAGAGATTCCTGAGTCCATCACGGCTTTCCCTGTCCAGCCTCCCAGCGCTCTGCAGCCCCTTGGATCCTCAATCTGCAGCAGCTGAGGCGAAAGAGAGCCGTACTCTTATTGTTGCTAATGCATAATGTAAGAAGGAGCCCCCAGGCCCCACAGCAGAGAGGGGACTCAAAAGAGATCCCTCCACTGGCCCATTACTCATTAGTCTTTGTGATTTAACACTATAACGTGTGGAAGCAGAAAAATAGTACAGGGAATGTCACACAGCTTTAGTTTGTGAGTTACAATCCAGCTCCATGAAGTTCGTCACATGTAAAAAAATAAATCATGATGTTTGATCATACCAGGCTCAAGTTCATGGATATGCAATGAAATTAAGCTCAGAGTAATGCAAATGTAAAAAAAATGTTTTTGTAAATATCTAGCATGAAAAAATTCTGTGAATGTATCATCTAAATCATGAATGTGAACACAAAATCGTGGGCAGGACCAAATATTTCCCCAAATGAAAAACAAAATTCACAAACAAGGCAAGTGAAACTTGTGACCAAACCAACATTTAAATTGCCCATTGACCTGAATGAATGTAAACGCTGCTCCCTGTCCACAGGAGGGAACAGCATCAGGTGCAGGATCGTAGACATCACATGTCCTTAAAGGTACCGTAACGTTTGTTATACAAGTGCTACGTTTCCCTTCTATTTCATTTTTTAATGAATACATTTGTTTTCTGTGACTGCAGAACTGAGTCTAAAATAAGGGGGGAGCAATTAGAGATGTAATACTTACATTTAAAGCCCTGCTTTTAGGCAACAAACAGCATTACTAATAGTTCCATTCTTTGTTCACAATAAAAAGTATCCTGATATTAAATATCATCAATAAATAACTATGATTTGTGACTCAAAATATCCCAAAGAAAGTGTGTGTCATCCCAGATCTTACAGAGACTGTGTTTTCATTTCTGTATTACCTTTACTGGAGATATAGAAATGACAAATTAACTCAGTGGTTGGTTTCTCATTTTTACAGCTATCAATGTAGTTGTCCTATGTGTCATTCTAATAAGGTCTGAGTTGGAAATTGATAATATTATGTCTGGTTGTATGTGTTGGTTGTACGCAACAAGTGCACATTAACTTTTGAATTGCTTTTGCACAAAACATAACTCTGCATCACCCCAAGTCGTCATCATCATAAATAAGGCAAACGGTTACATTCCGTTAGTACCTTGCGTGTGCATAGTAATGATACTGTACGGCGATCATGACTTTATGTTAGCAGAAAACTTGCTAACTCCCCTTAATATTGAGGGTTGTAACAACATACATTTTTGTATTCTTAACCAGACCACGAGGTCTCTGAGGAAAGACTGTATTCTCACAAATTATGTACAAATATATACTCAGAATAGTCTGGCAGTAAAATAAGCAATGAAGGTAAATGACGCCATGCTGGAGGATTCAAATTATTGAGGTTAGTAGTGCGTGAATGGCGCATTGCAACTCTCAAACTGGCCCACCATCTTGTTTTATTGCAACCAAATGTGACACGAGAGGGTGGAGCTAAGTTCAACTGAACGCTGAATAATTTTTATGATACCAAAAGAGTTACAATTTACGGTCTTTCTAAGACGAAAACACGGACAACTCCCAGACCGGACAACGCCGTAGTAGCGACCTGTCAATCACAAGGTAGCCCCGTCCCAGAGAATTCTCTGCTTTATGGTCTGTTATGATGGACCATAATCTACTAAATGAACATCAAGGTGTATCGAAGAAGACTTGAAACTAGAGATTGAGACCATAAACCCATGTTTACAATGTTTACTGAGGTAATAAATCAAGTGAGAAGTAGAGTCATTTTCTCATAGACTTTATACAATCTGACTTCTTTTTACAACCAGAGGAGTCACCCCCTGCTGGCCATTAGAAGGAATGCAAATTTAAGACAATTCCACATTTGCTTCACTTTTCAGACCCAGAGGTTGCAGCTTCGGTGCACCACATTTTTTCAACCAAGTAGTTTGTTGCCTAAACGTGAGCTGTCTCCTTCGAAAACAGAAGTTTCTTTTGAAAAGACAGTGTATGCATGTATCGAGCGAATGTTGTCACGTTGAAGCGTTGGGTCACTGACCAAGTCTTTGGGTAAGACAACAAACAAGAGTAGTAACAAAACTCTCAGACTGTCCCTTTAAGCCTGAGAATCTAAAATAGGAAAATATTTATTTTGAATAATTCATTGACAATGGGGTTTACTCTGAGGTTATGTAAGAATGTGCCACACACATTCCCTCTGTCTCTCTCACACACACACCTACAGACCTACACACACACACACACACACACTTTCTTATCTGTGTGCCCAGTTTCTCTCCAATGCCCAGCTCCAGGAAGGTTATTACAAGTTGTAAATGGCTGGGATGTTTCAACTGTCTGCCCACCCTGCCATTTACACACATCACATTTCACACAAAATGCACACACAGTCTCACACTCTTGGCCATACAGATTCACAAACATACAATATAATCCTGCCAACTTTTATGGACAAACAACTATTATCCATCCACTCTCTGGATCATTGCTCTGGTAACAGAACAAAATGATGAACTAATATCACAACATGTGCGCACACACTCACACACATGCACACACAAACAAACACACACACACACAGTAGTGATTTCCCACTCACGTTGTTGGGCTGGCATGCATCCACTGCTGACTTGTTGGGAGTCCTGCTAGATTTCATGTCCACCATCCGGAGTAAGACAGACAGAGAGGTGGTGGGAGAGACCCTCGCTGATGTCCCAGCACCGACACTACCACAGCAAGTGACAGACGGAGCCGAGGGCAGGGTGACAGAGCCAGAGTGAGGAGAGGCTGACAGACATTCACAAAAGTGAGGTGAGACGAGAAGAAGAGGAGGAAGGAGGAGATGGACGGAGAGAGAGAGAGAGAGAAGGCGGGAGAGTATAGAGCTCTGCCTGCTACACTTTTGACAGGCAGATTAAAAGTGATGCCGACAATCCTCTCTATCCCCACCGGCCTCCCTCTTCACATAAGCCCCGCCCCCTGCACATACACACTGTGTTACATCAGAACCTGCCCTACTCCAATGCCTCCTCCTCCTCCTCTCACCATCTCCCTCTTGCCTCCTGCCTCCCCTCACTCACTCCCGTTCCCTCCCTCAGTGCTGCTTCCCTGCCTGTTTCACTCGTTCACTTTTATGTCCTCTTTCCGCCGTCCCATCCCCCTCTTCCTTCTATACCTCCATCCACCCCTGGCTACACAGTGCTGTGGTACAGTCTGTGTAATTACCACTATGGAAGCAACTGTGGGCTGAGGACTGAGTGCAGCTGCTCCTTATGCGCTTATTGTCAACTCAGCAACGGCGCACATGACGTGTTGGTGTTAACGGGCAACCCAGTTATGCAGTTTTTTTTTAAAAAGAAGAAAGAAAACACTTATGGAAACCTCAAGGGATGGTCCCAGTTCATTATATCCGCCAGGGGACCATTCTGCTGCAAAACTGTCTAACATTGTGGGTGGCCAGTTATGGCTGCATGCTCAAGGAGCTCTCGTGGTTGCACTCTTCCAGTCAGAAGATCGGCGGTTCGGTCACCCGGCTCCTCCAGTCCATGTCGATGTGTCCTTGGGCAAGACACTTAGCCCCAATTGGCTGTATATGTGTTGTAAATGGGTAGTTAGTCCTAATGGATAGTGGCACCTTGCATGGTAGCCCCTGGCATCAGTGTATGAATGGGTGTGAATGGGTGAATGACATGTAATGTTAAAGCGCTTTGAGGCGTCGGAAGACTAGACAGGTGCGTACAAGTACAAGTGCATTTACTATTTACTTTATTGCTTGTTTTGTACCGACTGCTGACTCCTAACTCACATGCTTTTCCAGTCCCTGGCTGATAGGGGCCACAAGTGATCACACAGCTGAGTACA